TTGATATGTAGTGATGGACCACCAAAAAGTTGACTTTTATGTTACTGAATTTTGACAAATGGAAAATTTTTAAGAGCAACAAAAGTATAGAACCTAACCTACAATAACTTAACCGCTCCTAGCAATCCTAGACCTAATACACACTGTTTTAGGCCTAATTAATACATATTATGTGCTATAACAGACCTGGGAATGTTTAGGTTTGGATTTTAGTACAAAGTACAAAAAATTAACCTTTTGGTGGTCCATCACTACATATTGGTACTTTCAACCAAATAGTTACTGGAAGTACTATTTCAGGAGGATCTGTTTATATATTACGCTTGCTATATAGCATGTATTCTAAACACACACCAATGTAACTGATAACTAATTTATGTAAAGATTAGTGCACAGTTTTGAGCAGTAAGAGGTGTATGGAGTCATAATTAGCTTACCAGGCGCGCCATTAATCGTGTACTAACTTGCTTACACCAGTTTAAATTGTAAATTGTAGGCTAGAGCAGATTATTAATTCTCGCTTACCTCCTCTTCCACACAGCCCCACTCCTGTGCCAGGTAAGTCCACTACGGGCTCACCATAGCCCGTGCTACTTGGAACTTTTGTTCTGAGTAGCTGAATCTAAAACTACTACTACTAACTACTCCTCCTCTTCCTTACCAGCCACGGGTCAGTGGTGGTCGGGGGAGAGTCGCTGATCAAAGCCATGTACACAGCACAGAACCTGCCGGGTCTGCGACCGTGTCTTCAGAGTCCCAGCGAGCCCTCTCTGGCCTTCATCAAGTACGACATGACTAAGCCCAAGAGCAAGAGAAAGGAGAGGAGGGGTGCCCAGTCTACTGTCCTTAACGGTGGACAGGTCAAGGTTGGAATGGTCTTGGTGAGTGATGGTTAAATTAGCGGCAATTTTTATGCTCTGGTCCATCAAGTCACAATCGTGGTTTGTTCTAGCCTAGTCAAAACTCCATAGTTTAGTTAACAGCGTACTAGTGGCTTTACAAGAATGTAATTACTATGCTATGTATCCTCACAATCCCAATGTACATTATTGTATATATAAATAAATAAACAAACAGGAACGGCAGGAAAAGCATAGCGCCAACGTTAACTTGACTTTTGAGTTCAATACATAATAATAATAATTATAATAATGCAAATAATATATTATTATTATTATTTATATTTTCAATAATGTTTTATCTTTATATCAGTAAAAGCCTCAATGGTTCCTACTACATGTACTCACTCCCCGTGGTAATCCCATACTTTTAATTATTCTTGTTACGTCCCAAAATCAGTTGTAACAGGGACCCAATTGTTTGCAGAGTTTCTTTTTTAATTAGTAAATAATTCGAGCCACACTTTATATGCCAATGTGCATTGAAAACGAGCGTTTTTCAGTACTGCTATAGCTAGGCTGTATCAATCGTCAATCGAATAAAAGTGTGGGATGCGGGTTAATCTTCTAAACATAAGATATTTTAGTCTTAATATCGAGAATCACTTCTTCACCTCGATGTTCTTCAAGAACCGGATAGCTTAATAAATCCATAACATTCTTGGCAGGTGAGAGAAATACCTTTGTTGTTTCCACAAGTTTGTAAAATGTAGGCGATGAGTCACAATAACGTGGCTAAAGTATGTTGACCAGACCACACACTAGAAGGTGAAGGGACGACAACGTTTCGGTCCGTCCTGGACCATTCTCAAGTCGATTGTGAATGTCGATTTGTAAAATTATGCTTTACTGCGTTCCTTCCTTGGTGCAGACGCTGTGTCACAATAACTTGGCAGAAGATATAATGACCAAATTACACATTAGAAAATGAAGCATGACGACACTATTAACACATTAAATATGACACAAGGCTGAGAACACTTGGTGGAACGAAGACACCCACCAAGCTCAGTGTCACGTGTTCCCTCAACAACAATGGACACTCGACCCACAAATCTGAAAATAAAAGAATTGATGACGTTTCGGTCCATCATGGACAACTAGGACGGTCCGAAACGTCTTCAAGTACTTAATTTTCAGGTTTATGGGCTGGATGTTTTATTGACAGCCGCATTATTCTCATTTCAAATTATTGTCTGCACCACAGAGGATTTCTTGAATATGTTTTTTCTTTTTTTTTATCTAGCATCAGGGCCTGACAGCTGAGTTGACAGTGCTTGGGATTCGTAGTCCTGAGGTTCCGGATTCGATGCCCGGTGGAGGCGGAAACAAATGGGCAGAATTTCTTTCACCCTGATGCCCCAGTTAACCTAGCAGTAAATAGGTACCTGGGAGTTAGACAGCTGCTACGGGCTGCTGCTTCCTGGGGGTGTATAACAAAAAGGAGGCCTAGTCGAGGACCGGGCCGCGGGGACGCTAAGCCCCGAAATCATCTCAAGATAACCTGAAGATAGCATTAAGCGACCCGATTTAACATCTATTCTGCCGATATCACTCAGAATGACATAGCGGTTTATACAATATCAAAGGAAGACTTGAAAATCACCAAAGCTGCATATGAATTTTAAACATAAGAGGATTACACACACTTGCCATGTGTTGAGCCAAGTATATATATGGCTCTTCGGGGGAGTACCTTGGACAAGCCGCCGGCTTCCTGTCCCCGTCGAGGCCACTAGTGGTTAGTGCCCCTCAGGTGTATATATATATATATATATATATATATATATATATATATATATATATATATATATATATATATATGTGGAACCAGTGTAGGGTAAAGACAATACTCACCAACAGGTAATGAGACGCCTTCTCCAGCAGGTAGTGGCTCATCCCGAGGGAGTTTAGGACCAACAGGTAGTGGGAGCACGTGCCACAGGTAGTGGGGGCACGTGCCACAGGTAGTGGGAGCACGTGCCACAGGTAGTGGGATCACGTGCCACAGGTAGTGGGAGCACGTGCCACAGGTAGTGGGATCACGTGCCACAGGTAGTGGGAGCACGTGCCACAGGTAGTGGGATCACGTGCCACAGGTAGTGGGAGCACGTATAAGGGGTAAGGACACTTGCGGGGTGACTGCGCATCGTCACGATGATGATGATGATGAAGATTAAGCCACCCAAAAGGTGGCACGGGCATGAATAGCCCGTAAGTGGTGGCCATTTTAAGCCATTACCAGTATCAAGAGCTGATACTGGAGATCTGTGGAGGTGCGAATGCACCCTGCATGATGGGAGATGTCTCCCTTGTGAATGTGTTAAGATGAAGATGAAGCCACCCAATAGGTGGCACGGGCATGAATTGGTAAGTGGTGGCCCTTTTGAGCCATCACCAGTATCAATAGATGATACTGGAGATCTGTGGAGGTGCGTCTGCACCCAGCGTGACGGGAGATGTCTCCCGTGTTTTAAACAGATGAAGAAGATGAAGATGAAGCCACCCAAAAGATGGCACGGCATGAATAGCTCGTAAGTAGTGGCCCTTTCGAGCCATCACCAGTATCAAGAGCTGATACTGGAGATCTGTGGAGGTGCAAGTGCACTCTGCGTGACGGGAGATGTCTCCCATGAATGTGTCCAAGATGACGATTAAACCATCGAAAAGGTGGCACGGGCATGAATAGCCCGTAAGTGGTGGCCCTTTTGAGCCATTACCAGTATCAAGAGCTGATGCTGGAGATCTGTGGAGGTGCAACTGCAACCTGCGTGACGGGAGATGTCTCCCGGACCAAGTGTGTGGTGTGATACTGGAGATCTGTGGAGGTGCGACTGCACCCTGCGTGACGGGAGATGTCTCCCGTGGCATCGTCACGAGTGACGTCATAACTTAAACTTTGGTTCCAATCTGTCTTGTGGTTGAGGCAAAACTCCCTGATGAATTAAGACAATAAAACGAGTGATATAACAGCTAAGGTTATATCACTTATTTATATATAAGAACGAGCAAGGCCGAACAAATATATATGTACATATATAATATTAATTGTGTCTGAGTGTTTAAAGCACTCGCCGCTAATGAATTGTATACTGTATATCTATCAATTAATTCCAATTTATAGCTTTATAAATTAACTGTTTGTTTTGTATTTGGCAACGTATCCTCAGGCCAGGCTCGTTAAGCGGCGGCCATCCCCAAAGATCCATTCACCCATTTTACCATGCTGTGTATTTAAAATAGGCCTGTTGTTCTCATATATAATATTCATTGTTATCATATATTAATTTAATATTATATTGTTCATTGTATAACTAGGCGTAAGCTAGTTTATGTTCTGTCGGCGATTATTTGTTTAATGAACATTGGCCAATGTTTATGAGGGTGAGCTGAATTACAAAGACCCATAAATACGTAACCTAACCAAATCTAGGCCAAACTATACATCAAATTCTAATATATATATATGTTAATATCTATTTACATTTTAGAAAATATCGATTTTAATTACACAGTAGGTTAAAATTCGTGAATATATCCTTGGGGAGGGGGCTAGGCAGAGGAGCCTAGCCTGAAGACGGGTTCCAATAGTGGCAAGGAACATTACCATCACCTTGACTCGATAAGTCGAATCCCTGACCATGTACCCATTTTCATTTTTCATTTCTTTATATTGAAATTGAAATTGAAATTGAAATAAGTTTATTGAGGTAAAATACACACAAAGGGATGAGGTAGCTCAAGCTATTCTCACCCCGTTCAGTACAACGTGTTAATATATACATATACACACATCACAAATAAACATATTACCAAACATTCTGAGAGGTAAACATATACATTTCCTCCCTCACAAGTAGTATGGTATCAGACGTACACACAAATACTTTTATGACCTAGGTATACTGTATAGACAATTTGCAAGACACCTGCAGATAATTCAACAAAATATTACAATCTTGGTGCAAAATTCTTATATCTCTCAAGAATATCATCAACCTTTCCGTTGTGACACATCCAGGCTATTTGTTCAGGAACAGTCCTTATCTCAGTGTTTCTATATACACTAATCAACGGACAATCAAGAATATAATGGGCAAGGGTGTGAGACCTTAACATACCACATAGTTTACACTTCGTGTCATTACCATGAACATCTATCCCATATTCCCAGTAATATTTGTACCCAAGCCTGAGCCGCATGTACACAGAGTCACTCCAAGCATTTCTCCTTTTACCATAAGTGAAATGGGTGTTTTGACTCACATACATGTAGTGTTGCATGGTTTGACTACTCTCATACATTATCTCTCTCCTCTCCACTCCCGCCTGTGCCTGAATATTTCTGATTTTGCTTCTTATTTGTCTCATTGTGAATTCACATTCGATGTCAACTTGTGGTTTTGATGTGGCACGTTTGGCCAAGTCATCCGCCACCTCGTTAAGCACTATTCCAACATGAGATGGAATCCACATGAATTTCACACTATAACCTTTCAGCTGTATCTCAGTTATTCTTCTCTTACAGTCCTCCACTATAGACATGAAGACTGGGTTTCTACTGTTTAAGGACTCCAGTGCTCCTCGGCTATCGACAAATACAAAAACATTTTTGTCGTCATGACGTACTTCCTCCAAACACGCCAGAATGGCCTGCAGTTCAGCTTGTGTGGATGATATATAATTACTAAGCCGGAGTTCAATTATCCTGTCCACAGTCCCAAACTCCGTATAATCCCTTATTAGGACACCACACCCTGCCCTGCCATCCTCCGCCACCGACCCGTCGCAATATACATGTAAACTGTTGCCTCTTGGTAACCGAGATATCATGCTTCCATACAAACACCGTAATTGTCCCGGTTCATGATGAATCTTTTTCACCTTGAGGGGTACAATTTCGACGTCTATTTTCTGTACTTTCCAGGGAGCAGACATATTACACTTTCGAGAGGGTTTACAGCAGTCAAGTACGTCGTATTCCCTGAGGTCATGAGCTAATCCTCTCGTATAGCGAGTCTCCCTCAGTTTCCTGGAAGTGTGTACGTCACTCAAGCAGGTCTGAACGCTCTCAAACAGCTTATCCCCTCCTTTTCTCCGCATGAAACGAATAGATACTCTAGTGTTAATGTCACGGACTCTATCACACACACTCTGTAAATTTAATTCCATTCTCATTATTTCAATCATTGCATTTCTTTGACATCCAAGAATAATCCTCATAGCCTCGTTCTGTATCAGCTCTATTTTTTGAATTCTGCCTTGGCCTGTGTAAGACAATACGGGTGCTGCGTAGTCTATCAGGGATCGAACAGTGCTTATGTATAACATCCGCAAGATAGGTACCCCAACACCTTTACCAGAAAAAGCCAGTGCTTTTAGAGGATGCAGACGGGCTTTACATAAGGTGCTGATATGATTTATTTCAGCATTTTTACTCTCACATGTGTATCCAACATACATGCCCAGATACTTGTACTTCTGTACACGGCTCAGTTCCACACCATTTAGAGTAAGTGTTATATTTCTTCGTTTCCTATACTCGTATTTGGTTTTATCAGCATTTATAACTAAGCCTAACTTGTGACAGGTTGTACCAAGTATGTTAAGAGCATCTTGAATTTTGTTCCCAGAAGTGCCTTGTATAAGAATGTCATCAGCATATATGATCGTCGTGACCCCTGGAGGATACATCTCTGATGCTAATCTGTTCATTAATACATTGAATAAGGTGGGACTTAATACTCCCCCTTGTGGGGTACCTAACTGAAACCTCCGTTCCTCAGACATGTATCCCTGGTAATACACCTGACCTTTTCTGCCTTGCAGGTAATCCCTTATCCAGTGTAGCAATCTCCCTGTTATTCCCAGATTGGCTAATTCGTATAAGATTACTTCCCCATTGGCTTTATCAAACGCTCCTTGTAGATCAACAAAAACTCTACAATTGTCATCTACATTAGACAAACACTTTAAGAGACAATCCGCAGTACTTTTGCCTTTGATAAAACCAAAGAGATTATTGGACATGTTATCACCTACAAGGTAGAGTAGCCTATTTAACAAAATCCTTTCCATCATTTTACAAAAGCAGGATATTAAGGAGACAGGTCTGTAGCCTCCGTTTGACTTAGGGATAGGAATGATGACAGCCTCTTTCCATTTTCTTGGTAACTTTCCCTCTCTATAACTCATATTAAACAAATCAAGTAAGGGATTAGGTTTCATACCGGCTAAATAATTAAGTATGTCATACGTTACTCCATCTTTTCCCGGAGCAGTGGAGCTGCCACTTTTTATAGCATCCAGTAGCTCATCGTGGGTTATCTCAGTGCATGCTATAGATCTTGTATTTAAGGCACATAAAGTTACTCCATTTCTAATATTTTCCCATGACTCAATGGTGACTCTCGTGTCTGCAGGTAAGGACTCCATACCAGCAGCACTTGCCCATTTATCTACTAACTCATTAGCAACTTTCCCTGGATCTGAGTGAGCAATGAATTTAGTCTTACAACCCCTGACTTTATTTACTGCTCTCCATATGTCTTTAAGGTTCTTAGTATTACCAATGGCCTGAGCAAAGTCTTGCCAGTATCTGTCCCGCGCCTCCTTCCTCACCTGACTGCATTCCCTAGCCACTTCCAACATTGTATTTTTCTCTTCATCCCTCCTTCCATTTTTTAACCATGCTTTATGCGCACCCCGTAGCATTCTCTCCCATCCCTTGACTTGCTGATCATTGGAATATTTAAATTTCTTAGGTCCGTGCGTCTTGCTTCCCCTGCCCCCGTTATTTTCCCTCTGTACTAATTTCTCTATGTTCACGACCATGTCCTCGTAAAAACTATCAACGCAGAGCGGCGTGTAATGTTGATACCAATCTCCCATATTTTGAATAAAATAATTTTTCATATCTTTCTTAATATTTAGCCTTTTCCTTTGAAAGTGGACTTGTTTTTTCCCCAGTGGTAATTCAACGTTCAAGGCAAAGTGGTCACTAAGTAGTTCCCGAACAACCCGAGCCTCCCCCATAATCCCCTGAGAGTTTAAAACGCAGGCATAGTCAAGCCGTCCTCCCTTGATGTGAGTTGGTTCATTGTTTCCCAATAGACAGGTATCTGGATGATCTTGTAGAAACTGTAACCACTTGACCCCATTAGCATTAATACTACCCACTGTCCCAAGGCTTGTGTGCCGAGCATTAAGGTCCCCAATGACCAGTGAAGGATTAGTATAAATGCAGTCAGGTAAATAGTTAGCGTCGAAGCAGTTCCTGGATACATACAAATTAACTACAATAAATTCCCCTTCCCTTAATGATAATTTAACACAAACACTCTCTATACCTTGCGTTTTTGATGGCGGTTCTACTAACTCTGCTGGTATGGAGTTCTTAACATAAATCGACGTGCCTCTGATGTTATTTGCAGCGAAGAGGTGAAACCCTTTATAGCCATTTAATTTCAATAATCCTTCATTCCTATCCCCTGTCTCCTGGAGAGCTACAACATCAATATCATTTCCCATCACATAACAATGAACATCTGTAACCCTGTTTCTCAAACCATTAACATTCCATGACAACACTTTCAGTCTAGGGTGATCCATTATTAATCAATTCATTGCCTAAGTCATCCCCAATAAGTTCACTAAATGATAGCCATACCTTGTATAACATCTCCCACCTCCTCCCAAGTTCACCAGTAAAAGCGACATTGCGATTCTCAAGAGATTTTTTCAGCCCTGAGATGTCCATTATTGGCCCAAATGATTCCTTCATTTTATGTGTAATTATAGGGTTCTTCCTTTCACTACGACTACCATCATTCACACACACTTCACTTTCCTTCATTTCATCACTCAATATTTCATCTTTGTCCTCAACCACTATATCCTGATTATCCTTCACCGTTTTGTGATTTTCCTTGACCTCCTGAACGTTTAATTTAGCCTCGATGGACTCGATTCTCTGCCCCAGATTTTGGAGGAACTCACCAACTTTTTTAAGTTCAGCCCACACTTCCTTGACCATATTATTATGACCCTCTCTCTGAGCCACAGTAGCCACTTCACTCACCGTTACACTGTCACTGCCGGAGTCCTGAGTGGTGGCGTGGCTGCTTGTTGCTGGAGCCTGCCTAAGTAAAGGTGACTCCTTTACCCACGCATTCGTCCGGTTCACTGGCACTGTTTGGGGCAGACTGTTTTGCTGTGCTCCCGGTGTCTGGGTAAGAGCTCTTGCTTGCTCTGTAACATTCACCGGCCGGAGAACAGCCATACTCGGCCTCTTGCTACACACAGCCGAGCTCGCATTGTGAACACCTCCACAGTTGCAGCATCTGGGAACTATTTTCTCACCCAGATTCAGTCTGTTTCTACACACAGTAGAGAGGTGAGACTTTCCGCAGAAACGACATCGTGGATCATTTTGACATCTCCAGGATTTATGCCCCCATCTGCAGCATTTCAGGCATATTATGGGCTCTTCCACATACTTTGCTACATGCCTGTAGCCAGCCCCGGTGATGAACACTTTTTCGGGTACGTCACCTCTCACTAGAGCCACCACCTGACTCCTAGCTTCACCTTAATAAGGTGACGCTTGGCCCACACAAATCGTTGGTCGTCGAGTATAAACTCGGGGTCCAGAATCTGAGGGTATTTATAGATAATTACCTTCGTCAGCTTCTCGTTCCCCTCCGGTATTTCCATAAGAATTCCATCGTATCCTTGCTGGGTAAGATACTCCACTGCCTCCATTTGTATTTGTAGTACGTGGTTGAAGCATTTACAGCGTTGTGGTTCAAACAAAATTCGTCTGTGAAACACTTGTTCCATTAGTGTTTGAACGAAATCAGTTGCGAGTCATGTGTAAACCGTATGTAAACTGGTGTTATCACCGTCCACACCAGAGCTGGTGTTATCACCATCTACACCAGAAATGGTGTTGTCATGGTCAACATATGGTGGTCACGGTACTGTGCAGATTTAGGGGTGATCCTGAACATCATGGGTTCGAATCCTGGTAGGATCATTTGGAGTTCTTAGTGATCTATGGCTTGCACATTCCTGCAGCCTTTGTCACATATACATACATACATACTGTATATACACATGTATGGGCAGCAAAGCACTTATATTCATCCCATGGGCAGTAAAGTACCCATACCAATCCACCCATTCAGAGAATGGTAGCAGTTAACACCAACTTATTTTAATTCACCAACCCATCGTACCTTCTTGTATAGGTATACAGTATTTAAATAAATTCTTAGGCTAGCAAGTTACATAATTTGTTAACATAGCATCCAGCTACCTCCAAATTACATTAGTTTCTAATTACTCCTTTCTTAAAATATCAATTCTAAAAAAAGCCAATAATGAAATGTTTACAGGTCTCTGGAGCCAACTATTTCTGCCCCACCTAGGGATTGAACCCAGGTATCCTCAGTTGCGAGTTGACCGAGATCCTAAATAAGCATACCTTGAGGTTACCTTGAGGTGCTTCCGGGGCTTAGCGTCCCCGCAGCCCAGTCGTCGACCAGGCCTCCCAGACCAGGCATTGGCACATTAACATTTTTGTGTTTTTGTTTCAGATATATCAGAAGACAAGAATGTTGTATGCAGGATTTCCTCTCGCTAGCTACGGGTGCATGAAGCAAGACTTCCTCGACTTTATATCCAAGTACACCAAATGTGACTTTCACCTGAGAGTGCCCACCCATGCACAGCCTCTACCTCAGCTACCGAGTGAAAACCCACAGCAGGAGTCTCAGGAACTTGAACCCCTTGAGGAGACCTCATCTGAGGAACCACAGGATCAGCATCCCTCTGAGAAGTCACAGGAACCCCCTCAGAAATCCCAGGAACAGGAATCCCCTGAGGAGTTCTAGCATTGAGAACCTCCTGCAGAGAACTGTTGCACCTTCCCCTTTAACTCGAATACAAATACTGTACAGTACTTATCAATAATTACTGAAACTTAATAACAGTGATAACCAATATGCAAAAGAAAAAGAATTATATAGCTATCTTCTAATTCTAAGAATTACCCATCTATTTACTTCCAGTAATTTCATCTCAACACCATGTAATTTTTATTGAATCCCTCACAGATTTTGTATTTATCATTTACCTGAATTTACCTGAAACCCACTACAGTATTCATTAGTGGCCTTAAAGAGGACAGGAAACTGATGGCTTGTCAAAGGCGCCAACAACTGCTCCCGAAGATTTTTCGGTCTGGATTTTAAACTGAAGTAATGACTTGGCATTTGTGTCTTGGGCAGGTGGTCTCGGGTTTAGTAGCAAGGTATGCCAAAATTCCCTGAAAATTGGTTCTGATCTATTCTATCTACTGTGAACAACAGTTAGCTGCATTGTTTTGAAAGTCAGCAGGATCTGGATGAGGGAGGGAGTTGTGAGGAGAAAGTACCAAGCCATTGCAACTATATTACATTTATACATTAAATAAATAATACATTTAAAGTCATCTGGATAAACATCAGATGACTTTAAATGTATTTTTCTAGGCATATGGATTAGAGGTTGCATATCACAGCAAAATCCCAATTTCCTAGATTTGATCACTACTGCTTTTTTTGCAATCAAAGAGGTTAGGCAGAATAGCAAGAGGCATATTAAATGATACACTACATTGCATTTGCACGTCATATATTTGTACAGAAATTCACTTATTCCTATCATAGTTCCACCGATAAGATAAAAACAACAAAAAATATTTTACAAATATTCCTTTTTACAATTTAACATGCTTGAAAGACACTGGCCATATTTAATTTTCACAAGATAAACACTGACAGCTCATGTACGTACTACAGATAAATTGCATACAATTAACATCTTGCTAATAAATGTGCTATGAACACTTGAAGATTAAATTAGTGCCCACAAAATGAATAAGAGAAATGACTTTTAACACTAGATAAACCCCTTTACTAATTTAACATGCCTATGTTGCCACAAATTTTTACAAATGACACAGGATGATGCCTATGAAGCAGAGGCTTTCTCTAGCTTAAATTAAATATTACAATAGACATTTAATAACAGTCAAGAAGAGTTAAATTTATACCCTATCTACCAATGAACTTCAATAATATTTATAATCCCTATACCTCAGAAAACCACTGTCCCACAAACTTTCACAGTCAGATCTCAGTCCAGCTAGCGGCATAAGGAAGTGAATAATACTGTAATTCCAATTAATTTGTTGTAATAGACCTGCATAAACCACTTCCATAATGATTGTAATGGTGATGAATAGATGCCCAGCACTGTGATGATAGTGGTGATGATGACTAGCTACAGTACCACCTACAGTACTACCAGATATAGTGAGAGAATAATTTAGTAGCGCAGAGGCAAGGAAGTTAAAATCGGCAAAACATGATCAAGTAAAAACACTCTAGTTCCTTCAGATATAGAAAAATATGCATTTATATACATGCTTTTATCCACTTTCCTCGGAGAGCAAAGATTACCATTAAGAGTTAGTTTGAAGATAAAATCAAATTAATTTATTACTTATGAATGGCATAAATGAACCTTATATGACAAAAATGCAAGTACAAACTCAAACTAAGTCTGTATCATGTTGAAGTGATGCCAGTGCCATGTAATGCATTATAGTGTCAGAACAAATGGTTTTACTCTGATTAGCATATTTCTGCATTATTAGTGAATTAGGAATGAACACTGTATACCATGCTAATGTTATGTTCTGAAAAGAAGGAAATAAAAAATATTCATTCCATACATAGATACAGTATTTCTACATGCTTTACATGATATAAACATGATTTACATGACAGGATTAATAAAGTGAGCGGGTACCAAAGTGATACTCCATAGCAAAACTTGAATCCATTTCTACATCTTAATAAAACTGTAATACACTGATCCGTAACATGTCACCTTTGGTCACTACATGACATACACGCCTAAATGAAAATAGTAAATATCTCAACTTTTTTTCTTCGAGAATGAGGTATCGGTGAAATATACTGTGGCACAAGAATACTGTCTACAACTGACGACCAAAGAATGCAAACTCTAAGAGCGACCACTACATGCATTTGCTACAAAAGCGTAGTGCTAGTAGTTTCACAATCACAATAAAAAAGCAAGGGCAGGCTAACCCTTACCAGTCTAATAATGTGTTGCTTAATGAAATAGGATACTGGGTACCTACAGATGTTAAAGATATTAAAGACACGACATATTGTGCAAGTTGACTACATATATACAATATTTGGCAAATGTATCAAATTATCAACAGAATAATAATAATAATAATAATAATAGCAGAAATAATTTTGTGTAGATACGTGATGAGAGCTATACTGGTGTCCTGTGTTTCCTATAAATTTTGTCATATTTCAAAACTGCTAATGATTTTGACATTCCACCACTTTCCCACTTAAACTGTTTCAACCATCTGCAACTCTGTTCACAAAGGAGAACTTTGTGATAATAGTTCATTTAATAACAATCAAGAGCCTACTGCTACCAGTAATAATGTTCAAGAGCCTACTAATAACCACTAGTGCTACTGCTTTCTGGTGGTCCTGGTACAATAAATTCTAAATACACTATTATACTTTTGGCACCTCTGCTTTCTTAGCTTGAATCTATGGCTTCTTTTTCTTTAAGTTGCTGTTTTCAAACATTTCTTCTTGCCAACCATGTCGAATCCTGTCACTATTCTATGTGGTGATAGTATTGCCTCTTTTTCCTTTCATTTTCCAGTTTTGATATATGTAATGCCTCTAGCCTCTCATCATAGTATGTATGTATGTACTGTGTGTGTGTGTGTGTGTGTGTGTGTGTGTGTGTGTGTGTGTGTGTGTGTGTGTGTGTGTGTGTGTGTGTGTGTGTGTGTGTGTGTGTGTGTGTGTGTGTGTGTGTGTGTGTGTGTGTGTGTGTGTGTGTGTATATATATATATATATATATATATATATATATATATATATATATATATATATATATATATATATATATATATATATATATATATATATATATATATATATATATATATATATATATATATATATATATATATATATATATATATATATATATATATATATATATATATATATATATATATATATATATATATATATATATATATATATATATATATATATATATATATATATATATATATACACACACACACACACACACACTTTATATATAAAAAACTCCTTAAAAAAAATTAACCATACTAAAGGCTAAAGTACTTAAAATTTTTAACTTTCACATGATATTTCATAAGTACAGTACTGCACAAATATATAGTAAAATATACTCTTTTAAACAAAGAAATTCTAAATAATGTCCCAAATGAAAACATGAACTTTGACCCAATCGCACGTACATAGTTTCCCCCTCACGTTTCCATGGCAACATTATTGTAAAGGGAACAGAAGTTGACCTTTCCCCCCCCCCCCCCAAATGATGGTTCATTTCCTCAGCTCCCCTCACACTGCAGCACCAGTCTTGGTAATCTCTCTCTTCTGCCTAAAAATTGTCCATCTTCCAAATTGCACTTCCACTATTTTTCTTTGTTCTTCCTCTCTTATGTCTCTTGAAGCTAAGCTACTACTTTTTTCCTTATATTCCTGCTTCAACAGTGCAAGGTTGCTGCAGCAATTCAGCAATAGAATTGTGTTTATTATCACTGAGTAAAAGTTTGGTGCTTCACAGATGTGATGTGAACCAGCATGTAGAACAATTTAGCAAATGTTTTAATTGCTCATTTAACACCTGAAACAAGTAAAATGTATGGAGGAAATTCTATAGAGCCATTTCCTCTTGGAATGGGGATTTTGTGAGGAAAAGATGCATGAAATATGTAGATCAATAATCATATGTCAAATAAATATCGTTAAATGTGAATTGAAAAAAAAGTATAAATATTTTCAAATTATATTAAACAAAAATACAATTTTACCTTTAAGTAGATGTCTACCCTAAAAGTTCCTCTTCTAATCTTAGAGAAGAGAAATGCTCAACAAAGCTTCAGAATACTCCTTTACAAAGGAGAGTAAAAACTCAACTTTCTTAATAGCTAACTTGACTGTTGGCAGAGTTGTAATCTTCAGCTCTATGTCGTTATTTCCCTCCATAAATGATGAAGTGAATAGCCCCTTTCTTCCTCCTGGTGGTTAAAAAATTAAACATCAAATGTACAGCAAGCATAAGACCATTTTGGTGTAATTTTTATATAAAATATTAGATTCATCATTAAGCATTAATCAAACACTATTATAGTCACTTTTGGAAACAATCGACAAGGTGAAGTACTAAGGTTTTTCATAGAACCTTCCATTACACAACAATTTAGAGCAATGGTTCTCAACCAGTGGGTCGCAATCCCCCTTGAGGGCCACAAAATGGTTTCTGGTGGTCCTGGGATTACCTAAATTCTGAATACATTAAGTACTACCATAGTACATCTGAATCATTGAGAATTAGCAAGTGGTGAGTATCCTGATTAGGCAATTTTTTCCAGTTATGAAAATGTGGCAGAGGGGGATGCAGATCTTGAGTACGTATTAGAAAACTGGGCTACAAGTCCCAAAAGGTTGGGACGCACCGATTTAGAGTAAAAAAAAAAAAAAATATCCGAGCTATTTTATTACAGTAATTTGGCACCCAACATTAGTAACCTTGGAAAAACATGTTTAATTAGTCATTAAGAAAATGTTGAATAAATTCACAAAAAGGCAATTTACCTTTTAGTATTAAAAAGAGGCAAAATATTAAATTGGTACTACTGAATTTGGACAAACCAGAAATGTTTCTGTACTGATGTTGCAAAAAAAAACTGATCTTAACCTAACCTTCCTAAGCCAAATACAGACTATCGGAGAACTTATGTAATACTACATATGTGTGCTATACTAGGCCAAGGTTACGTTTGGCTTTAGCTTTATTTTTTCGAACTTTATAAAGTGAATAGCACCAAATTTTACTATCTAATTGTCAATTATGGTCACAGTTACAAAAAGTACGCTTGTATCTAAACAGAAGGATGAGTTGGATATGTATACACTTAAGAATAGTATACCAGAGAGATTACCAGCAGGTTTTTTCTTCTTTGAAAGGTTTGCTTTGGAGGTGTGTAAGAGCACATGAATTTCCGAGATGGCAGCCCTGACGTAATAAGTTCGGTCAGCCGCGACAGGACCCTGAAGAATCTTCAACACATCATTCCGAACAGTGTTGGCAAACTCTTCACTCTCCATTAACCAGGGATGCTGAAAATTATATTAGGTTCTATAGAAATGTTCATGGAGCATCAATATTTAATTACTCAACAACTTACAAATCAAATTTCAATCAACCACAAAAAATACTTTTATAGGTTATATTTAATATACAGTACTGTATGCTCATGTTCCTGTGTAGAAACAGTGTAAGTATTGCTCTGCATAGGCAATGTAAGCATTGTATTGTAGTGAGGAGGTCCTGTAAGTATTGTAGTACAGATGCATTTTAAATACCATAGAAAACTCTAAAGTCCAACAAGTTCACAGGAACTGATGTAATATTAGCCAGGGTCCTTAAGAAATGTGAAGATAATTTTAGTGAGACACTGTCATGGGTTTGTTCTCAACTCACAATTAGGAATCCCTGGTTCAATCCTGAGTGAGACATAAATGGTTTGGCACTTTTCCTTTCACCTAATGCCTCTATTCACCTAGCAGTAAATACCGTAGGTACATGGGAGTTAGTCAACTGATGTAGAGTTGCATCCTGGAGAGGGTCAGTAGTTTGATCTTAGGGGGAGGACCTTGATATAACCCTAACATATATACATACACTGGCTGCCTGTCCCCTGATGAAACAAATTATTACTATTAAATCATTAGAGTTGATATAATAGTAGTAATAATAATGTGCTGGTTTTTAAAAAGGAAGATAGATAAAAATCTATCAGGCACCCTTCCCTAGAGTGAATAGGTTGATTGGAGAGAAATGGAGTGAAGGTTGATTGGATAGCCTCTCAAGATAGATGCAACCCACAACAACTACCTAACTCGCTGGTATCTATTTCCCTGCTAGGTGAAAGGAAGTACCCAACCATCTCTGTCCAGCCCGGGTTCCTCACTTGTGAGCCGAAAAATATACCACTGTCTTGACTTTTTTTTTATTTATATATACAAGAGTTCTTACATTCTTGTACAGCCACTAGTACGTGTAGCATTTCTGGCAAGTCCTTACTCTTATGTTCCCTGGAATACGACCCTGTGAAGAATCGTCTAACAACCAGGTACCCATTTTACTGTTGAGTTAAACAGAGGCTCCAGTTAAGGATTTGCGCCCAGTAAATCCTCCCTGGCCAGGATATGAACCCAGGACAAAGTGCTTGCGAAACGCCAGGTAAGCATCTTACCACTACACCACGGGGACTGACAACGATGACTCATTGTGATATGATCATAGCAATGCACACGAATTATTATACTTTTAGAAGCAACAGAATAATGAAGTTCATAAAAGCAGGGAAATATATATACTCTATATGGCATACAAATTACCTCATGTTACACAATGATATAAATGGGTTAGACCTGAAACAAGTTATTATATAAGGAAAGGAACCAAAATGACACTGTCCATTAAAATTGTATCCAGAAAGAGTTGATCAAAAGCAACAAAATGGGAGCAACATCAACATATAACAGAGAACCAATAAAGAAAATATTATGTTAAAATACAAAGCAAAGTGAATATGCTCCAGCCATAAAAAGAACTAAACCATACTAACATGAAAATAAATAAAAACACTAGAAAGTGACTTACATTCTGTGCTTCCATTTTAGGGCTCTCAACTGCAATTGCTGCTTCCTCAAAATTTGCATTAGCTGATAACACTGTTGACAGTGAGAGTACAGCCTCTGTGGCATCCAAACTGCTTTCCTGGTGGTCCCCATTGAAGAGACGCACTGTCCATGCATATGCAGCCAACACATTCAGGATATTAAATGGAATGCATGGTGAAGGAGACGTTTTCTACAAGTAAAAACAGCAAGAAAGTGTGATTTTGGTTACAAAAGCAGATTAGACTATTCCTACTGGTTAATGGCTAACTTTAAAACAAATATAGTGTACTGTACTTAGTGTTCGGTAGAAGTTAGAATTTATTAGAATTTAAATTTATGTCACAACCCATCAAATACTTGAAATAGTTTGAAAAGATTGTTATAAATATTTTGGTAATAATAAAGAGAAGAAGCACTCTGCATGTGGTGGTACAATGTGGTTGGATGCTGCTGTTGATGTTCTGTTGGACCTTGATGTTGATTTTGTGTCATACTGCTCTACAGTAGTGTAGAAGATACAGTGAATACATGAGGTAATTTAAATTTAATTTTTATAGCATTTTTAATCTTCTCTTCCTATTTCTTCCATGCTTTTGTCTCTCAATCCTCATGGAAGTGGGAATTATGATGATGATGGCCATGGCAATAGAGAATAACAGTGTTAAAATGGTAAGCTACATAAATTATATTTAATCATAAATATACTTTACCAAGGAATCTTTCATGTTTAGCTGGTATGGCAAACATGAAAGATGCCAACTCAAAAAAATTACTGCACAGTATTTTACAAGAATTCCTTTCACATTGTCCCAGGAAGAGATCATATCAAACTGATCACGCTGCCAGCACACTACACTTGCAAACTGAATACTTATACTGTAGTAATTATTGATTTGATCAACAAGGTGAGAAAATACTCCATTCGTTATTTCCTGATCAAATTTCACATTTAATATACTAGGTATAGTTAGCAATCTGTCATCAGATTCAATATGAGAACTCTGGATTATCTGGGTAGTTTTTCATGTAAATGTTAAGTAGAAAAAATTAATTATAGCTATGAGATGAAAGGTGCAGATGCTACTTCTCATAAAACCCCAGAACAATTGTGCATTTTTTAAAGTCTGTGTCTGAAAGATAAAAGAAGCTTTATGGACAGCGCATAAAAATATATTTTCATCACCTGTCAAAACATGCATATTTATTAAGAAAACAGAACTAATATATATTTATAATTGCATTAATTAACACTCGTTGCTTCTGGACATCCAATAAGAAATGAGATGCTTATAAAGAGACGTCCAATTTTCATCTAGAACTGCAAAAATTGAATTATCAGAGAAACGTATTATGCCATAAGTTAAAATAACATTACAGGAAATATTCACGAACAAGAAAAAGAACAAATCTCATATGATCTTCACTAAGATCTAGTTGGTCTCATGGGAAAGCCATCCAGTACAGTTAAAACAAAACTCTATAAATGGTTTTCATTTCAAGTTTGACAAATAGTTTGCTATAAGAAAAATCTGGAAAATTTGATGAAAATTGCAGAAATACCAATTACAGTACGTACAGTATTTGGAAATCCAAATCAAGCCCAGAACGAAATGATCTGGATTTTCACAAGTTTCATAATACAGTACAGTGGAACCTCAGAATTCAAACTTAATTCATTTCAGAAGGCTATTCGAGGGCCAATCTGTTCGAGTACCGAATAATTTTTTCCCATCAGGAATAATGTAAATTGGATTAATCCATTCCAGACTACAAAAAATACACATTAAATTAAACACAATAACTAGATGAAATAAATGTAAATTTATTCTCACTTTACTTGTGCAAACGAGGAGTCACAATAACATGGCTGAAGGTTTGATGACCAAACCACACATCAGAAAATGGAGAAACGAAGACATTTCTGTCCATCCTGGACCATTATAAAGTTGTGTAATGATAAACTTGATTCAAACAGATCTGCCCAGGACAGATCGAAACATTGTTGTTTCTCCATTTTCTGATGTGTGGTTTTTGTTATCACTTTACCTGTACTGTACTTAGGAGAGTTAATGGTGTATGTGACAGCATCTCTGTTAGAACTGGCAACCTCCCCATACCATGTGGGAGCCGGTCAGCCGAGCGGACAGCACACTGGACTTGTCATCCTGTGATCCCGGGTTCGATCCCAAGCGCCGGCGAGAAACAATGGGCAGAGTTTCTTTCACCCTATGCCCCTGTTACCTAGCAGTAAAATAGGTACCTGGGTGTTAGTCAGCTGTCACGGGCTGCTTCCTGGGGGTGGAGGCCTGGTCGAGGACCGGGCCACGGGGACACTAAAAGCCCCGAAATCATCTCAAGATAACCTCAAGACACTATGAATGCCAATTCTCCTCTTAAATTTCTCAAACCACCCATGACTGGCTTTGAACACTTCACTATCAGCTCCTTTGATGGCCTTTTTATTCATTAGTATTGTAGAGATTGTAGATTTAAGCATACCAAACTCAGTAGCAGGAACAGACACACGAACACCGCTTTCATATTTACCGTATCTATAAGTTCTTTTTTCATCTCTATTGTGGTTCTATTTTTTTTTGTTTGGCTCTTACCACTAACCTTCGTAGGCACCATGGTGACTTATTTATGCTAAGAATACAAAAAAATACTCAAGAAAACACAAGAAAGCTTACAGTGAATTTTAGTGGGTTATGCACTGAATGACAGTTATTGAAAAATACTTGTTTGTTATGTGTACATGGTCAAGTGCTGAGCAACCAGTCAACTAGCAAGAGCTTATTCTTGAATAAAGTGTTCAAGTGCCAAATTGTTCGAGTTCGGAGTCATTCAAGTGCCGAGGTATTGCACATAATTTGCATAAATCTCGTCACAAATATTTTGGGCTAGTCTCATCCTATATATTTTGTGCAAGTCTCTCTCTTTATAGTTTATGCCTTATGTTTATCTTATAATTAGTGTTCCTTTATATTACTGCATGTTCATAGTTTGTATATTTAAATATATTTTAGTAATATAAATTTATGGGTTGAACTGTAAAAACTTGATTAAACATAAGAATTCTAACTATAAGTACAGTACTCTATCTGAAACTGATTGCCGTGTTTCCACAGAAATTATTAAATGCATTTTTATTATTATACAGTATCAGCAAAATTCACTAGAACAAAGTCAGAAACGAGCAATTGCCATTTCTTACAAACGTACCGTTACTTCACTAAGCATGGGAACTTCAACCATTATAGGACATCCAACAGTATATGCCAAAGATGACTGAGTAGACTGGCTTCCTGGTTCAATCACTTGAACTTTTGGCACATGCTGATCCCACCAGGGAATCCAAGGTGGAATCAGATCTTCAAATCCCCCTTTGTCAATGAGTTCACGGAACTCTTGACGCTCCTCCTCGGTAAGTTTCTTCCATATTGCATCGCTATCATTAAGGTCCACATCTGAAAAGCATTAAAATATTATGTAATAATGTAGTCGACATGCACTAACCATAATTAGATAAGCATAGTTAAGCAATCACATGTTAAGAAATAACAGTGAACTAGATAGCAGAAGCAATGAATTTGAGAGAGAATAAATTACTGATATTTTAATTGTAGCCATTAATTGTGAGTGCACTCAGTTACACTGTTTATGATGCGGTCCACTCCAGATGCTGACAGTTAACTGGCTAATTTAAATATGGGAGATTACAGGTACTTGCAAGAAAAAATAAACAAAACACTAGTTCATGTTCACTCAAGATGTTGATAGATTGGTTAACATTAGAAAATAAGGTTCATTTAATGAATCGAAAAGAGATGGTTCAAGTGATGAATCTAGGACAGAAGCGTCACTTGGACTGAGGTAGAAGATCACTTCATGAGCCTGAAGCAGGTTAAAATAATGAATCTGATGCAAAATGTTATATTTATAAATCTGATGCACAAAATTTACTAGCTGAACCTCAATGTGAGATCACTTAGAAATCCTCTCCCAAAGGTCTACAAGTCTACCTTTTTTTCATGCCAACGTTATCTCTGCTAAAACACCCCTAAGAATGGGTTCCCTTAGCCAAGGATATGACTGAGTGCACAGCCACCCCTCCAGCAGCTTACTGGCCCCAGTTGCATTTAATCTGTTGAATAATCCACTAGCCAACAAATATGCATACAGTATGAAATTACTGAACAGAATATTTTAGTTCCAATATATTTTTCCTTTTGACAAATGTAGTATCAGCCAACTGTGTCAAAGTCCATAACCATAACAAAGTCACCACAGTACATGAACACTGCCCTAGTACTTTAGTTCACCTAACAGACAAATTAAAGATAAAATATTTTGGCTAATCAATGACAAAATACATAGTGTTATTAATGTTCAACACACTGACATTATTGCCGAGACAAATACAGTACTGTATAGTATTGAGAAACTTAAAGGAAATTACAAAAACAAACATTCTTCAAGTCCTGCACTAATCTTTAAATTTTAGATAAAACTTATGTTAACACATAATAAATCAAACATGGCAAAATGAGATTGATGTGTACCTGCCATTCTAACAGCCAAGTTCTCATCATCATCTGAATCAAGAGATTCATCCTCTTCCTCCCCCATAACGGATTCCCCAGCATTCACTCGTTGAAGGATTTCCATCATTTTTTTACGCGATTCTTCTGGTACGGTTCCACTTCGAAGCTGTAACAATATAAATATTCTCATATTAAATATGAGTTACACTAATGCACATGAATGATCATTAATAAGACATAAAAACTAAAAACAAAGTAATGCAATTAAAAGATAAGCAAGGAAAATCTAAATTAAAAACAAAATACAGTATGCATGTTGTACCTATTGACATAGTAGTAGTAAAAGTAGCAGTAGTGTAAATGAATTAAAAGTATTCTAATATTTCATTCAATAATACAATGAGTTGCTACAAAACATCATAATAAAATTTGTTTAGCAATTCTGTATATTGCAATATGCTTTCAATTTGCATATTTGATCTTTAAAACTTTGCTCAATGTGACTTAGTATAAATCAGAATATGTAAACTAGAAGCTGCTGGTTCTGTCAATGTGACAAGGTCCACCTTGGGGCAGCCAAACTTTTAACAAAGCCAACGGAAGGAAGCATCGTTGATGGTCCACTCCACGACAATGGGGCAAAAACGAGACAGACCATTCGCCAGAATATTGAACACACCCCAAACACAAAATGCACTGAAAGTCAAACCCCTGCAAAGCCAGAAGACGAGCTATCCATAGAGTACAGACCCTTAAAGGAACAGACCAAAGCAGCCCTCATCCTCCCCTTCCCTTCCCCACCCTGCAATTCAAACAATGAACTACTAGGGAGCAGTTGCAATGAATCCAGATCATGAAGCCTGTCAGAAGACAAAGCAAATGTAATGTGTGACAGACTGCCACGAACTCTCACACTTTGCTGTGAACCCAACTCAACAGCCCCCAACAAATGACCCTGAGCAGCCAGGTGAATGCTTGTCAAAAAACCTTAACCAAAAGCCAAAGTATCCGTGAAATGAAAATGCCCAATCTCCCACCATGGATGTCGTCTCTCGCTGGAGCTGGTATTACTAGTTTGTTATTGGGTTGCATCAGAAAGGAATATTTCAATACACACTACATATTTTTCTTAGTATTCTTAATCTTTTTCTTATATTGAACTACTATTTTGTCTGAGCTGATGCCTCACTATCTCATGAAACTGAGAAATGGGCGATAATGAATTTACTTGCATGTAATTTGTGTTACAAAATTTGTTATAAATCAACAAAATATAATAGTAATCTACATTTTTAATAATACACAACGAAAATCAAAATTAGTACTGTACTTGGCTTTCCTACCTCCTCTTTAACCATACTGAGGTAAAAGGCCTCAGAACATTTAGCATGACCCTGGTGCTTATAGCATTTTGAGGAGCAGTATTGCGCGTTGCAGCGAGGGCAAGTATACTGCGAATTGTTGGCACAGCTGGAAAATACAACAATAATAATAGTAATAATATTTATACAGAAAAAACAAACTTATTATACTGTACTGCATGCAGTAGATACTGTACATGGTATAGCATTGCTGTTTTTCATAAGGCTACAGTACTAATTAATGCTAGAGTATAGTAACAAACATTTAGTATTAATTACTGTACAGTATTTCAAATTTAGGCCTCAAAATGCAATATACAGTACTATATTAGTGATTATTAAATATATGGAGCCTGGAAAGCTTTATTTTTACTACAGAATGCCTAAGTTCATGGAATGTAAATGATGACTTAACTCGGCATTCTTACAGAATAAAACAAAATTTTGACCCTAGACTGAATCACAGTTGGTCAATGACTTTTGATAATTATAAAAACTTTTAAGCCGAGGCCCAAAAATGCTAGGACAAAAACTGTTTGAGGCACACACATTCCAATACTGATACCGATATTAGACAGTCGTCATAAAAGTTTTGGTGGAGATACCTAATGCAATCATATTACTAGTGTGGACCCTTACACTCAAATTAAAATGGATAAAATATGCATTTAAATACACTCTTGCAAAGCCACTAATCTGCATAGTGTTTTTTCTGACCCAATTCTTTGGGGCAGAAAATATTGACTACCATCATTTAAACATCAGCCTGTGATTGACAGAGTTTCTTACACTTCATAAACAACAAACACCAGATTTTGGAACATAAACAAAACAAAACAAAAAATCCCCAACTACGACTAAGGCAAAATAATTCAATTCAAGTTTAACCAGATACAATGAACCTTGACACCACATATATATGTATATCACGAAAATAAAACACGTGATTAAAAATGTGACAGTGTCAGACCACGGAGGAAAACTGAAACAGGAATTTCCTTAAGTACTTTCGTATATTAATAAATCTTCAGAAGGAATCCTTCTGAAGATTTATTAATATACGAAAGTACTTAAGGAAATTCGTTTCAATTTTCCTCCGTGGTCTGACACTGTCATACGTCAATATATATAATCCAGCCTTTCGTCAGTACAATACAGGTGATAATTATGGACCAGCAATAGGAAATATGTAAGGTCCTCTCACTAATGGCCTCGTTAACCTCATACAAGACTCACAAATCACATTTCCCCCGAGGTTGGGTCGACGTAGCCATTACAGCTGAGGGGAACAGGGAGCTCTTGTTGTCCTTCTACACGTTCACAATCCACGGAAAAATATTATTCTTACCCTATAACAGCCGGAATAAATTATTTATAAATATATATAATGAATAATTCTTGAACAATAAAATGTGGGATTATTCTGGTTTTTCAATTAAGCAGTGGATTTGATTTTATATTTAGTTATGAACGGCGTAATTCATTAGGAAGAAATGTTCAATTTTTGTTTTACATCGAACACACTTCCTGTCATATGTCCTGCAATACTGAATTTAGCAAGGAATTGTATATCTATATTATTTCAATTATGAACTCATTCTACCATGACTTAATGTAGCAGACTTTCTTAAAAACAATAACGTTTCCCCACATAATAATATTTATTTTATTTATTTATTTATTTATGCATATACAAGAAGGTACATTGGGAATGTGAGGATACATAATATGGTAATTACAATCTTGTAAAGCCACTTTAAACGATTCTTCGCGGCGGGGATCGTATTCCAGGGACCTGCCCGAAACGCTACGCGTACTAGTGGCTCTACAAGAATGTAACAACTCTTGTATATATCTCAAAAAAAAAAAAAAAAAAAAAACTAGTACGCGCAGCGTTTCGGGCAGTAAGACTCCCATATACAGTATCATGCAACCCACGCACCGAGTATTTTTTTTCTTTATTAGCAAGCAGTGTACGGGTTATGAATATTAATTCAGATCTAGCGGTACGTTCGCGTGTGAAAAGCGAGACTCTGTGGCTACATACCTGAATTTACCCAAGGGCCACTAATACTAGTGGCCTCGACGAGGACAGAAAGCCGGCGGCTTGTTAAAGGTCCCCCATTTATCCTGATGATTTTTTCCAGATGTATTTTAAACTCCAACTGAGTTTTGGCATTTACGGCTTCGACGGGTAGGTGGTTCCATGGGTTTGTAACCCTATGGGGTGAAAAAGCATCTTCTGTTCTAAGTCCTACATTGTGGCTAATTGAGCTTGAAACCGTTGCTCCTTGCTTGTGTTACATCTGACTTTTTGAAGAAATTGTCTGGATCAACATCCTCTAAATTGAGGATTGTATTTTAAAAGTTTCAAGAGATCCGCCTTGTCATGCTTAGTTTACAATGTTTTTAGCCCTGTGGCCTTCAAGCGTTAATGATACGAGAGATGACTTAGCTCTGGAATTATATTTGTTGCTCGGTGTTGCACGTTCTCCAGAACAGCTGTGATTTGTGAATCTTTCTGAAGATGAATTATTCATGCCTGGATGCAATAATCCAGGTGGGGGCGCACCAGAGACTCATACAATTGAATGACTACCACGGGCTCACCATAGCCCGTGCTATCTACAATACAATACAATACAATACAATTTTATTTAGGTAAGGTACATACATACAATAAATATTTACAAGGATTGTTTGACTTATAGGTAGAGCTAGTACATACAATGCCTAAAGCCACTATTACGCAAAGCGTTTCGGGCATGATAAACTTAAATGACAAGCTTAATACTAATTGAGCATAATGAGTAGAATGAAAACAAGAAATGAAAACATAGATGAAAAAGCAGCACAAATACAATTATGTCGACAAACAGCGCTCTTTAAAGAAAAAAACAGACATTGGTTGACAATAGAAGGGTAAGGTAGGTTACAGGGAATTTATTAGGTATAGCTTCGCTTTTAACTTAAACTGGTTGAGAGAGGTACAGTCTTTAACATGGTTGGGAAGGTCATTCCACATTCTGGGCCCCTTGATTTGTAGAGCATTTCTAGTTTGATTAAGTCGTACTCTAGGAATATCAAAACTGTATTTATTTCTGGTGTGATGCTCATGGGTTCTGATACAACCTTCTATGAAGCTTTTGAGATCAGGATTGAACTTTTTGTTCCAGGTAGCGAATCTACCTGGAACAAAGCGGGATATATGTATTATATATTATTCATAGGATTTTCAGTTAATTAACAAACATGTATAAGAAGGATTGTATAATTAAGAATGATGCTGTATACTATCGCCCGTTAATGGGGCAAAATCTAAGAACCACTTATTGGTACCAGTATACAGGGAACACAGGAGGGAGTTGTGTAAAATCCTGGTTTGTGCCTCGGAGAGGCTACGGGATCCAGTAAGTTCAGTAGAACTTCGGTTTCAACTCTTTTACCCTGTCGTAGCTCAGTCGATTAAGGCAGTGTCTGGGATGCTCCCGGACGCAGGTTCGAATCCTCGTCACGGCCCTTGTAGATTTGTTCAGCATACAGGGAAGTTGCCTTTTGTTGTGGAATGTCTACTTCAGTGATCGGTTACACCTTAATTCTGAAGCTTAGGCTGTTGTTGTTGTTGTTGTTGTTATAGATTCAGCTACTCGGAACAAGTTCCAAGTACCCGGGTTATGGTGAGCCCGTAGTGGACTTATCTGGCACAGGAGCGGACTCTGAAGCTTAGGCATATTCTCTAACATTTACATATGTTAGGGTCACGGCCCTTGTGGGTTTGTTTATTTACATATGCCGTCGCTGCGTAAGAGGTGGTGGGTGGGGGGTTACCCCTGACCTTGATTGCACGGAATGCCTCTGCTGAAGGAGTCCTCCTCGTCCTTCCGCGGTCGCTGGGTCCTTTGGCGTCCATTGATGCAAAGGAGGAAACAGATTGCAGAAACCAGAACAGGGACGCAAAGGGAAGACTCAAAACGTTTTGCGTGCACTGAGGAGTGGCAAGAGGAAGAGCAGGACTGAGGAGAACAGGTGATTGATTGACTGATTGATGAAGATTAAGTCACCTAAAAGGTGGTACAAGCTTGAATAGCCCGTAAGCACGGGAACCAGTCCGTGTTCGGTCCTCAAGAGAGAAAGAAATTGAAAAAGAGAGAGATGTAACGTATCGGAAATTGGAGAAAGAATGGAAGAAAACTCATAGTATGAGAGAGGTGGAAGGGAGGAGTGACGAAGGGTGGTCAGGGGAAAGAGAAAGTTTATAATGAGAGAAAAAGAATGAGAGGATTACGGGCTCACCATAGCCCGTACTACATGGACATTTCGTTTTGAGTAGCTAAATCTAAAACAACAATGAGAGAAAGGAGGAAGGTAGAAGAGTAGAAAATGCTGTCACCATCCATTCAATAATTTATTATAAGACAAGGAATGGAACTGGTCTGCACAACAATATTATCTGATGTTATTACTTATCGACTGTAAGCATGTAATTATATACTCAAGAAATTTATGTCATGATAGTCAGCACAATTCAGAGTGCTCTTCACTCTAGCTTTCACTATATCATAGAAAATCCAAGATTTAGGGATCAGAATTAAAATACAATTTAAAAAGTAAGTTATTCAATTATATATTTACTATTATATCTTCACTCATATGGGTATCATAATTCAACCATATCATTTGATGTTCAAATGTCAACTTTTTTATAGAAGAGTTCTTACATTCTTGTACAACCTAGCGTAGCACGCATAACGTTTTAGGCAAGACCTTAATCCTAATTTTCCCCGGAATACGACTCACCAAATCGTTTAACAACAAGAAATTGAATTGAATCAGGTACCCATTCCCTGCTGGGTGAACAGAGGCTACAGTTAAGGATTGGCGCCCAATAAATCCTCATGAACCCAGGCGAAAGCGCTCGCGAAACGCCAGGCGAGAGTGTGTTACCCAGCTCGTCTTCCAAACAAAGACACAAAAGTCATTCCATCCACCCGCCAAACCCCCTGTTTATGAATGAAAAACGGTTTACACACGACTCACAACTGCTGAAATTGAACACTTCCGGAGCAAGTGGTTCACTGACGAATTTTGACCGAACCACAACGCTATAAATGCTTCACCCACGTACTACAAATACAAATAATCGCCAACAGAACCTAACCACCTAACTTAACGTCACAATAACGTGGCTGAAGTATGTTGACCAGACCACACACTAGAAGTTGAAGGGACGACGACGTTTCGGTCCGTCCTGGACCATTCTCAAGTCGATTTGAGAATGGTCCAGGACGGACCGAAACGTCGTCGTCCCTTCAACTTCTAGTGTGTGGTCTGGTCAACCTAACTTAACCTAAGCCTATATATGCACAATATGCTAATATATTATAATATTAATTTATATTTGAGAAAATTTCCGCTTTAAATGAACATCATGTAAAAATTTATGAATGCTTCTGTGGGGTTAACCGCTGGATGTAATGGACTTGAGTCGAGGTCGAGGACAGGGGACACTAATACACAATTTGAGTCACCACACAACAAATTGAGAGCAACTACGGCTGACTGCCCCCCTGAAAATCACACATCACTTAAATATGAAAACACAATATATGTCAACCTTACAAGTTCACTCACCAAAGTCTCTAAGTATAAAATGGTAGAGATGGAAGATGGTTCGGTCGACAGTCCCCACCCCGGACTCTGACAGCAGGGTGTCCCAAAGAGAGAAAGAGAGAGAGACAGAGAGACAGAGAGACAGAGAGAGAGAGAGAGAGAGAGAGAGAGAGAGAGAGAGAGAGAGAGAGAGAGAGAGAGAGAGAGAGAGAGAGAGAGAGAGAGAGAGAGAGAGAGAGAGAAAGAGAGACAGAGAGACAGAGAGACAGAGAGACAGAGAGAGAGAGAGAGAGAGAGAGAGAGAGAGAGAGAGAGAGAGAGAGAGAGAGAGAGAGAGAGAGAGAGAGAGAGAAAGAGAGACAGAGAGACAGAGAGACAGAGAGACAGAGAGAGAGAGAGAGAGAGAGAGAGAGAGAGAGAGAGAGAGAGAGAGAGAGAGAGAGAGAGAGAGAGAGAGAGAGAGAGAGAGAGAGACAGAGAGACAGAGAGACAGAGAGACAGAGAGAGAGAGAGAGAGAGAGAGAGAGAGAGAGAGAGAGAGAGAGAGAGAGAGAGAGAGAGAGAGAGAGAGAGAGAGAGAGAGAGAGAGAGAGAGAGACAGAGAGACAGAGAGACAGAGAGAGAGAGAGAGAGAGAGAGAGAGAGAGAGAGAGAGAGAGAGAGAGAGAGAGAGAGAGAGAGAGAGAGAGAGAGAGAGAGAGAGAGAGAGAGAGAGAGAGA